ACTCCTTGTGCCATTGTCTGTGTCTACATGCACATTCTTAAGTGAGTTTCATGTGGTTTTGTCCTGTCAGAATCTTTAGAATTTATGGTTGTTAAAAAAAAGGACTTTGCATACAGGGCTGAGTTAGCAGTTCAGTAAAGGGGCTAGTGCACTAAAATGGTGGCCCCAAAGTGGGATGTACATGTATGTCCCTTTTCATATGTATAGTAGATTTATGGTGTGTGTTTGTGTGTTTAAGAGCTTTCTAAAATAAGAGCTTTCTTGTAGTGGCCACCCCTTGTCTGCTCTGCATTTTAGTGGAGGTGGATAATTTCGGTTCTCTGCTTGCCCGCCTCCCTTCTTGTCTTGTTAATTGCTTTGAAGCGAAGCTTTCACTCTTTCTAGTCAGAATTAGCCAGAAAGCCCAGCGAGGCCCCTGCCATGTACAGACCGCTTCCCCTGCAGCTTCACCTGGGTAACTTCTTAGCATCCATAAATAAGAATTAAATTATGGTTTTCCATATTAAAGTGGAACCATACCCCAAATTGTGTTGTCTCTAAAGAAAACGTAACTTTCCCCCCTGGAACTAGAGATTGAACCCAGGGTCTTTGCACTGAGCTACATCCTCAGCTTTTTTACTTTTTATTGTATTTTTGAAATAGGATTATGCTGAGTTGCCCAGACTGGGCTCCAAATTGTGATCTTTCTATCTGAGCCTGCCACAGTGCTGGGATTACAAGTATATGCCCGTGCCCCACTGCAAGTCCAGGATTTTGCTTCATTTGTGGCACTTTCTAGAATGTGAAATTATGCTAAAGTGTTCCTTGGTTACAGAGGAGAGCTATTTGAAAAATGACAAGTCTACTGTCTCAGTACTGTGCATCCAAGTCTACGTTTTGAGCTTATAGTTTTTACTGAAATAATCGCATACAAAGAAGTTTGCATTGCGGTGTGTGATGGTAAACTCCTGTGGTCTGAGTTACTTGAGAAGCTAAGGCAGGAGGATTGTATGAGGCCAGGAGTTCAAGACTGACCTAGGGAACACAGCAAGATGCCCATTTCAAAACTAAGAAGGAGCGGGCCGGGGAGATAGCTCAGCAGCACATGTGCCTGCCTGGCAAGTGCAAGGTCCTGAGTTCAATTCCCAGTACCAAATAAATAAATAAATAAAATAAAATGGTTGGGTGGGAAAAGGGGAACAAAGTAATCATACATATAGAGAGTGTACCTACTGACAGTATATAGTTGCATGAGTTTTCACAAACTAAACACAATGAGGTTACCATGAGGCTACATTTTATTGTCTAGCATCCCTGATTCAAAACTCTTAAAATGCCTCTCAATTGTTTTTCATCTCTGAGGTCTCAGTCAGTTCTCTGGTTTAAATACTCAATGCTAACCGTAACCTTGCGTGGGTGAAGAACAAGGTGGGCACTATGCCCTGCCTACGTTTTTCTCCTAGGGCTTTGTGGCATTCAGCTTGCTTTTTAATGGCCACTGCAGCCTAGGCTTCTAATTTCTGCCTCTTACTCTGAAGTCATCCATTTCTCCCTCTGGCAATCTCTCGTAATGCTTTCAAACTGAAGGTAGCAATTCAGTGATCTTGAAATCAGTTTAGTGAGTTGAAACTTATGACCAGCATTTAAAAAGAGACCAAGGGAGGGACAAAGAGAAAGAGATAAAGTGTAACAGTGCAACGTAACTATTGTGAGGTTAAATATTATTTTTTGAAACTTTTGATTTAGTTTTTCATGTATTTGTATGTTTACTAGATCGTGATATAAAATTTATTTATTGCTGAGTCAGTCTTACAAGTTTAGAAAACATTGCCATAAATTTCATCTCAGCAATTTAAAAAGCCACTTAACATTAAAGCTTTATTAGTTGCTATTCACAGACTTTGTTTAAATTAATGAAATGGAAATTTGTTGGCTAGATGAGTGTCGCCCCCCCGCTACAGAAATACAATCTGTCTCATTTTAAAGTGCCAGTATAACTCAAATACATTACAATAAAAATGTTATCCCTCATGAATGTACATGTAACAATCCTTTATCAAATATTAACAAACTGAGTTCAGCAATATATAAAAGGTATAATGCAATTTGGATCAAATGGAGTTTACTGCTGGAACTTATTTATTTATTTATTTATTTTGGTACCAGGAATCGAACTCACAACCTCGCGCTTGCCAGGCAGGCGCTGTGTTGCTGAGCTAAATTCCCAGCCCTACTGCTGGAATTTAAAAGAGGGGTGAATTCCTATCCAAAGGCTAATTCAGTTCAATAAATGGGATCAAGGAAAGTAGAAAAATTATCTGATTATCCTTAACAGGTACAGAAAAGCATTTGATAAAATTAAAGTACCATTCATTAAAAAAGAAAAAACAACAACAACAACAAAAAAAAAAACACCCTCAGCAAACTAGGAAAGAAGAAACTTCCTGAGCTTGAGAAAAGGCAAATTTGAAAAACCTACAGGTAACATTGCAAACAAAGCAAGGTAGTCTGTTCTGAACCACTTAAGTTTAATGCTGTTCTTAGAATTCTGGCCAGATTTTAGCATGCAGTAATGCCAGAAAAAGAAGTAAAAATCATAAGGATTGGAAAGAATGATGTCTTCAGATGACATGATTGTGTATGTAAAAATGGTTAAAATTTAAAACGCTGACAATATCAACTGTTGGCAATGGTAGGGAGCAACTGGAACTTCAGCATTGTTGTTGGGTATGTTAAATGGTACAACCACTTTGGAAAACACCATAGGCGCTTTTTATAAAGTTAGACTTGCACACAGCTCATCATTTCTGATCTTTGGTTTTTACCCAAGGGAAATGAAAATGTGACCACAGGAAGGCTTGCATCTGAGTGTTCCTAGCAATTTTATTTATAATACTGTAGATTAGAATTAGAAATAACACAAATGTTCATCTGCAGCTGTGAATGGATAAACAAATTGAGATATATCACAGTAGAACACTAACCAAACTACTGTTAAACACAAAGCATAAATAAACCCGAAAACATATGCTGAGAAGAGGCCTTCTACACAAGAATACAGTATATGTGTATCATACAGGTTCATTTATATCAAATCCTAGAACAGAGAAGACTCTAGGGATAAAAAGCAGACCGATGCTTGCCTATGTCCAGGATTACTGTTGCTTCAAAGGAATACAGTGAAACTGTTTGGAAGTTTAAATGTTACATATCTTCACTCTGGTGGTAGTTACTGGAGGTTTTTACACTTGTGGCAGCTTATTGTGTTTTATTTTTTATTAAAAAACTCAGTAAAGTTTTTTCAAAAAGAAGATTTAGACTTCTAATTTTAAAACACATACATGTTGGAAAAAGTTCTTCTCATTAAAAAATTCCCTAGCAGGATATGCAAAGCAAAACTACATTGAGATTTCATCTCACCCTGATCATAATGGCCATCATCAAGAATACAAAAACAGGGGCTGGGGATTTAGCTCAGCGGCAAAGCGCCTGCCTGGCAAGCACAAGGTCGTGAGTTCGGTTCCTGGTACCGGAGAAAAATCAAAACCAAAAAAAAGAAAAAAAAAGAATACAAAAAAACAGTAAATGCTGATGAAGACGGGAGGCCAGCCGGCTCCGCTGCTGATGGAATGTAAATGAGTACAGCTGTAGGATGGAGATTTCTCTGGCACTAGAGCTACCATTTGATCCAGCTCTACCACTCCTTGGTATAAACCCAGAAGAACAAAAATCAGCATACTGTAGGACTCCTGCATACCCATGTGTATTGTGGCCAAGATGGCCAAGATAGGAACCAGCCAAGATGCGTGTCAACAGATGACTAGATCAATAAAATGTGACATAGATAAGTAGATAGATAGATAGACACTAGACAGACACACACAGTGAAGTACTGTTGAGCCACAAGGAATGAAATTCGGTCATTTGCCAGAGAATCGATGGAGCTAGAGGCTGTCATGTTGAGCAAGACAAGCTGGACACAGAAAGACAAATCTGCGTGTTCCCCCCAGTACATGGAATCTAGAAAGATGACAAGAAAATAGAAAGGAGACTATTATTAGATAAGAAGAAGGGGAAGACGTATGGGGGGGGGGTGGATACGAGCAAAATATGTTTTAAAAGGATCAAATTGATCAGATATGTTATTGCAAGTCTGTAATCCCAGTACTTAGAAAGCTGAGGCAGGAGGATCACTGAGTTCATGGCCAGCCTGAAGGACATACCATGACCCTGCCTCAAACAACAACACAACAACAAAATCAAATGCATGAATATAAATGGAGTATCTGTTGGTGAGATGTCATTAACTGTAATCTTCTAACAATCTAAAACTGAATTCAGACAGGACTGTGCCTCCTAAACTACCCTGTCCTGATGGCTTCATATTAATGGCTGCCCACTGGTACTTTTTAAATTGTATATTCAGTTTGTTCTTTTTTAAATTAGACTTTATTGGTACATTTCAGATATACACAGTAATCACATTCATCATAGAGAATTTGTACCTGTACGTGATCCAGCTTTTTTTGCCTCTTCCCCCACCCTCCCTTCAACTCCTCCTATTCAGTTTGTTCTTCATTTGCAATTTTTATATCAAGCTAGGAATAAAACTAGATGAATACATACTTATTTTTACTGTTCTTTATTCTCCTATAGTCATCAGAATAAAACTTAGCACAGTTTCTGAGGAGATCGGCATGAATTTCTTAGACAAAAAGGAAGATACGGGGATGATGTCCCTTTGGGAATATGACCGCTTTCTTGCATGGTGATTTGCTTCCACTTCCCAGGTTTTGAGAGTGATAGGCAGTCAGAAGTTCTGCATGCCAAAAGCAGAAGATACTGGGGAAGTTTTCCATCATGAACTTTAAGTTGAAGGAGTTTATGGTTGGCTGGATTACAGTATAGAAAGTGGATGTCTTTAAAGTAAGTAGAGCTTGCGGTACAAAAGAATGGAAACTTCTACGTGAAAATGTGTTCAAGGGAAAAACATTGTCTCATCATCGTTTATTTTGCTATAGGAAAGCACCACCAAGCCAGTGAAACACAGAATGTGATTGCATCAGACAAGGCAGCAGAAGTATCAGTTGTCCATGAACATGAGCACAGCCACGACCACACACAGCTGCATGCCTACATCGGCGTGTCCCTCGTGCTGGGCTTTGTGTTCATGTTGCTAGTGGACCAGATTGGCAGCCCCCACATGCATTCTCCTGACGGTGAGTGGTTCCAAGGCCTTCCGGGCAGCGCAGTAAATGTGCAGTGTGGAAATACACTAGCAGTTGAATAATTCAGACCATCAATATCCTTACTTGAATGCTAAAACTCTTCTCTTCCTCCGGTGCTGGGAAACATTTTATTCACTTGGTGGAGCTAGCGAGCTGTGGTGTGACACAAGGAAGTGTTTATTGATTTATTACTCTACTGGTCCTAAAGCTGTCACATTGGGTTGAGGGTTCGTAACCTGTGTTGTGCACTGTGGCTCTTAGGCAGTCTGAAGCCTGTGGACCTTCTATTAGGATATTGTTTTTAAATGCTTAAAGTACAATATATAGGATTATAGAGAAAATGAGTTATGTCAAAATAGTTACCACAGAGTTAGAACACATTTGTAATATAGTAGGATATATTTTTTATTAGTACATTAAATGATGAGATAATACATTTCAATCCTAAGGAAATCAGAGTTAAATTTTGTATTTTAGGACATGAATATGACAGCTATTGTTGCTTAGCTTAAGAACATTACATTAAAGGGTGATCATTCACACAGCATCCAGTTTGTTTCGGGATCTTGTTTTGTGGTTACTAGTGTAGGAAATCCTGGTTCACACAGGTATTTTCTTACAAACCAACTTCACATTCTTTGCAAGGAAAGAGAAGCTTCTTTCAAGGACAAGTAGAATTTGCCAAGACTTTTCAAATTTAATTATGCTCAGTAACTTTTCTGTGTTAAGATTAATGAATTCATCTTTGGCCAAGTCAGCATCTTTGATATGGCTTATTTTAAATAAAAATATTCTGATGCATAATTCAGCTTTGACATTATGGTGAAGGAAATAAATTTAAGAGTTACAGAACTTTTCTAGAAAAAAAAAGAACTTTTCTAGGTATTTATAGGTACCTCTTTTTTTGGCAGGGTGCGGGGGCAGTTGAGACAGGGTTTTGCTATGTAGTTCAGGTTGGTCTTGAACTCACTGTGTAGTCCAGGCTGGCCTCCAATTTGCAGTGATCCTTCTGCCTCGGACTCCCAAGTGCTAGGATAAATATCTCTTTTCATATATGTCGACAAAGAACTTTGCAGACAGTAAGTACTGGAAGGCAGCAGAGATATCTTGGTCTCCAGTGGGAGACTTTGTCTTCCACTTTGCTGGCAGAATGACTGTTAGGTAAGAGCTGCTTGTTCGTTGCCCAGCTGTCACCTGAGCGTCTGCAGACGGGAAATGGTAATCACGCAGCGGGCCGGCAAGTCTGGAAGTCCTCACTTTATAGTAGTGATGGATGAAAACCATAATTTTAAGATATGTGCAGTTGTAAAATAGTATCACATTATCTGATTTCTATTGGCAGTAAAGTGTTCTAATATCACTTGTGGTTTATTATCTTCATAATCCAAGAAAATGCAACTTCACTGACGTCCCCTGAATTCTATTCATGTTATCTTTGGATCCCAGGTTAAGAATAATTGGTCTACAAAAAAAAAATCCGGAAAAGCAGGCAAAAGATACAAACAGATTATTTAACAGTAAGATATAAAAATGGTCCTTAGTCATATGTATGTTCACTTAAAATGAAAGGAATGCATATCAAAATGACATTGAGACACCACTTCACACTCCTAGGGCAGAAATTCGTAGATTTGACAGTTGGTAAAGCTACCCTAAAGCACTCTGATGTATAGGTGGAAATGCAAAATGATCAGCACCCGTAGAGAGGAACTTGGCAGTATCTAGCAAAATTGCATATATGTGTTTATTCCTCGACCCCAAAATCCCATTTGTAGTTTTCTCTGATAATACAGCTCCAGTGGGAAAATACATATGCACAGGATTATTCAATGCTGCATTGTTTATCATTCTGTAAAATACCAGAAACTACTTAAATGTCCAGTCGTGGCTCTCAGTTCAGTGAACTGTAGTGTCTACAAGTAATGGAGTGAGTACTGCACAGCTGTGAAAAATAAAATAAAGACTCGGCTGTCTACAACTGACAGGGAGAGCTTTCCAGGGAACTTCTAAATGAAAAGAAATTTTTTAAAAAGTAAAAATAGGCCTGGGTGTGGTGGCACACACCTGTAATCCCAGCACTCAGGAGGCTGAGGCAGGAGGATTGTTGCAAGTTCAAGACCAGCCTGGGCTACAAAGTGAGCTCAAGGCCAACCTGAACTGCATAGTGAGACCCTGTCTCAAAAAGACAAAAACAGCAAGAATAGAATGCTCACCTGGCAGGTATTATTTTGTATTAGAAAGCACAAATAAGAAAATACACGTTTGCATGTCTTTACCAAAACAAGACACAAGAAGGATCAGCTAGAAAACAATACTCATTACCTTTGCAGAGTGGGATAGAGGGTACGAGACAGCACAAGAGCTGTAGGAGGCATGCGCATGCTTTGGGTATATTTTTGGCTTTTGGAAACTAATATTCTACAGGTTCAAAAGTAGAATAAAAACAATAAGGATGTGGGAGCTAACCGAAAGAGGTGAAATCTGTTTCAACAATAACACAATTGTGTGGTTTAAAAAAAAAAAACTAATTCAGGTGACTTATGGACGTAAAGTTTGACTGTAAACCTTAAACCTGGCTGGCTGCAGCATGGGTCAGGGTGGGCGGGGGTGCTTGAAACATTTGTGATCATCTGAGAAAAGGGGCAGGGAGGCGGGAACATATCACAGGACCCAGGAATCCATTTAAAGGGGCCTGCAGTACTAAACGGGGGGGCAATTTGAGCATCAAAGTGAGAAAGAACAGCAGTAAGCCATAAGCCACTGAAAAAATAGGAATCCGTGAGCTCATCCACACAGTAGATAGACAGATAGAGGACGGAAGGAGGAAAAACGAGGGCCCGTGGTTACAGTAGGATGCTGAATGCCAGCGGGTTAATGTGTACAGGGTGCTGGGGTGGGAAAATCAACATTCTGTGCAGTCCTCACAGCGAAGGTTGGCTGAAGCAAGAATAATCGATGGTAAGTGTAGGGAGTAAATTTTGATTTACTTATTAGTTGCAAGGGGAAAATACATAAATAAAGAAATTTACAAGACTTACCAGATGATCATTAATGTCCCTAGTTTTCTACTTTTGAGTAACTATATAAATTCTAGACAAAATTTTTAGAACTACAACGTAAGGACATTGGAGTGTAACCTAAAGCAGGCAAATTCTGGAAGAGAGACAATACTTGAAACAGGGTAATTTCTTCATTTTACTACTTTCAGCAGGTAGTACCTTATGAAGCATCTAAACTTCTCATAGAAAACTTAGTATTTCTGTCCTGAAGAACTAAAGGATAGAATTCAGAACAGCCACAGCACACAAAGGAGAGAACAGCTGCCCAAAAAATAGAATTTGCAACTGAAATGAAACAGAAAACCCTTTTAGAGGAATAGAACAGAATCCAGAATGTTCATGAAACAACATTAACAATGTCCGGTGCATCATCAGAATTATTTCCACTAGTGAGCAGATGTACATCCTGTACCTTTCGAGGTGGTATCCCGAGAAGCTTCTCCTGTGTAGTATTCCTTCAAGAGCAGGCAGTAAAGGGACTCATCAGACAACCTGAAAGGAAAGAGTGTTCTACTAAAAGAACAGGAAGGTGCAAGGATGGGAGTTTATTCATCCTGATGTCAGTGTCAGCTGAAGGCGGTGTGTAATCCTAAACTAGATCCTTCTTGGAAACAAACAAAAAAAAGGCAATTGACAAAATTAAAATAAGCAAAAGAAATGAGAAAAATTATCACCATTAAATTTACTGGTCTGTACTTTGACTATGTACCATAATACCCTTTCTCTTTTCTTTTTCGTTCTTTTTTTGTTGTTGTTGTTGTTTTGAGACAGGGTCTCGCTGTGCAGTTCAGACTGACCTTGAGCTCACTTTGTAGCCCAGGCTGGCCTCGAACTCAGAACAATCCTCCTGCCTCAGCCTCCCGAGTGCTGGGATTACAGGCGTGAGCCACCACGCCCGGCTAATGCCCTTTCTCTTAGGAAGTACAATTGCAGTACCTGGGGATGAAGAGTTATGTGCAGCTTCTCCGTGGTACAGAAGGAAGATTCGCTGTATATAAAGAACATGAATATAAGTTTTGAACCAAATGGGGTGAAATATTAGACCTCAGGTTAGATGGAGAAGCAACATTTGAGTATTTTTTAAATTGTTCTTACAATTTTTCTGGAGGTTTGAAATTATTTCCAAGTGAAGATTAACAATCATAGTGGGGCTGGGGATGTAGCTCAGTCTTTAATCTCCAGCAACAGTAACAACAAGGACCAGGGATATGGCTCAGTGGCACAAGCGCCTGCCAGGCAAGCGTGAGGTCGTGAGTTCAATTCATGGTACAAACAAAACAAAACAAAAAAACAACAAAAGAGCCATGGTGCTAAGCATAAACTAAACAAAAACCCTCTTAGTCTAGAAAGGTTTTAATCTTACATTTATCACTCCTTTTAATATACTTTTCAATAGACTTTTTAAAAATAAATTTTTATCGTGGAAAATTGATTTAGGAGTAAGTGGTTTTATTCAGGTGCTTTATTTCAAATAGCAAATGAGAAGCGCCCTCTGCTGGACGATATCCAACTGGCTACGTTACGTAATTGCCCACTGCGGCATCTGTGACCTTCTTCTTGTGCTTGTCTGTCAGTTGTGATCTAACCTTCATAAGCCAGGAGGGTGAGGCAGATGTGGCCTTGGCAGCAGCAGCCCTGCCAAGCCCCCCTTGGCTGCAGCTTTTGCCACCAGATAAGCATCCAGGAAGGCAGGTAGCAACTGCGGGAACCTCAGTGTGAAGTCACTGGCCTGACAGTGACGTAGGAAAAGGGAAGCTCGCCGTGTTGGCGCTGGCGGCATCTTGGCTGTCAGCATAGTTGTGCTGGCATCCCGGTGGGGTTGGGAAACACTTAGTGTCTGTACGCCTTGGAGAAGAGGAAGTCCTCTGCACAGCGAGGCCCAGGAGCCCGGTCCGGCTGCTCGGAAGGTGTGGCTTGGATCTCTACGGGACCGTGTGGTTCCTGCCAAGCCGAGGGCACCTTGAGAGTAGCAGCGATACCTGAAGTCTTGGTTGAGGCCACTGGCCAGAACTGAAGCCCAAGTGACAGAAGGTGATCGCAGAAGTCATCCAGAGTCAGGGTGACCACAGGCCTCCTGAGGAATGGGTCTGCTGGACAGCGACTCTGCTGGAGACTGTAAAGTGACTACCAGGAAACTTTGGGACTTCCAGTAAAGTTAGCCAGAGCGATGAGTCTATGCTACTTAGGACCAAATCTATTTTTAAAAAAAATTTAAATATACCGAATAGGCCCAACAGTGCCCGTACTTCTATACAAAGAATTAAATGTAGCATTTTTATCTTTATTCTTCTATCTCTGGGTCACTGTTTTTGCCAGCTTTTACGTGTCTAATGACATTGTTTTACATATTCTCTGCAGAGTTTTATGTGTTATGAAATATTAGTAGAGGCATGGTGGCACATGCCTGTCATCCCAGCACTCTGGGAGGCTAAGGCAGAAGGATCACAAGTTCAGGCCCGGCCTGGGCAACTCAGTGAGGCACTGTTGCAAAACTAAAGCATTAAAAAAAGAAAAGAGGGGCTGGGATTTAGCTCAGAGGCACAGCGCCTGCTTGCAAGCATGAGGTCCTGAGTGTGATTCCTGGTACCAAAAAAAAAACAAGAGGGCTGGGAGGTAGCTCAGTGTGAAGGTCCTGGATTGAATCTCCAGTACTGAGGAGAAAAAGTAAAGTGTATCTATGAACTCTATGCTAAAATCTTTTCCTATAGATTTATAAAAGCTATTTTAAGGCCTTTAATTTTACCTAGGTTGCTGTTTGTAACTGTGCCATAAGCCTGTGTTTGTACAAAGGCCGCAGCAAGCCTGTCTCGAAGAACAGTTGGCTGTTCTCTGTTGACTGTTGATTGGTTAGCGCACATGAGTGGTGGCCCTAGCTTGCTTTCATTCTTTGCAGTGTCGTTAAAGGATGACATAATTTATCGGTAGAACACTGCACATTATTTCCTTGCTGGCACGTTTCTTACAATACTGGTTACATCTTTATGTGACTCAGGTAGAGACTCCGTCTTCCAGGAAAAACGCACTGAACAACTCCGGCGTTCCTGGCACTGTGCCACATTCTGTGAGGCGTGCTAACAGAAGGGAAGTAGTAGGAAACTCTCCTGTATCTGTTAGAGTCAGGGTGGGGCGTAAGGCATATTTAAGTGAGCATGGCTGTCTGTGTGTCCGTGGGATGAGGAAGAACTTTGAAGTAGCATGTGGACCCAGGGTGCCTAGAACTTATTCGAGGCCAGGGCCTAGTTGTTTCTGAGATGGAATTAATCTTTTATCCTTTTGTTTTGTTGCTGTTTGTTTGTTTCTCTGTTTTTGAGACAGGGCCTCCCTGTGTAGTGCAGGCTGGCCTCGAACTCACTGTGTAGTACAGCCTGGCCTCAAACTCAGGGCAATCATCCTGCCTCAGCCTCCTGAGTGCCAGGATTACAGGTGTGAGCCACCACACCTGGCTTTTCTATCCCTTCTTGAAGAAGGTGACCTTAACTTTAGACTTCGACAATGTCTAGATTTTGGGTTAGCCAACTAAGAGATTCAGTACCTGAGCAGAAGGAGGGGTGAGGAGATGTAGCAGAGGGGGTGAGGATGCTTTGTTGCTCTGGTCCCGATGGTGATTAACGGTCTCGTGGTGAGGAGCCCTGTGGCACCAGCGGACAGTGGCGAGCGCCTGCCTAGGAGAACAGTTCGGGCAGTTGGAAAAGCAGCAGGTTTTGGACAGGTTCATGGATACAACAGACGGGCGTTGTTTTCAAAAGGTGACTCGATGGGGGGAGGTGAAAAGAAGCCGGGCCAGCGGAGCCTGCGACAAGCTTGGGTGTGTGTTAGGAGGGCCGTGAAGACAGAGGCAGGTGTGCGGAGTGTCGGGCTGGAGGCCGCACCCAGGAGCGGGGAGGAGAGGGACGGCAGGGACAGTCCTGAGCGCGACTGAGGCTGAGAGCGGGGGAATGTTTACACTTTCAACATTTGTTACGGGAGAATGTAAAGACACACTGCCATTAACCCCCTCAAAACACTCTCCCCCGTTTTGGGTACACTTCATCTCATCTTCCTTGCCAATTTCTGAAGCCATTCTGGAAGTCCCCTTTCACGAGCGTCTTGATGAAGTGTGATCAGAAATACAGCGAATGCTGCCGCGAATGCCACCCAGTGGAAAGGAGGCTCCTGAAAACTCCGCACTCGCCTTCGTCGCCCGGTCTGGCGCTGTGTGACTCTTAAAAAGTTCTTCCCCTAAGCCAGAATGACCATGAAAGGGAAACACTTTGAATCAGTTCAGGACAGGGAGGCAGCCAGGACAGCACAACTAAAGATGCTCATGAAACAGGACTTCTGGAACTGCTTCTCGGAGGAGGCAGAACGACAGGGTGGGCCTGTTCAGAGCTGGGGGGGGGGGGCGGTTATGAAGGAGATTAGTGGCAGTGTGTCTTTTACTATAATTTAAAAAAAAAAACTTAAATATTAACTGCATGTTTTAATCACACCTCAGATGGGTCTGGGAAGAAGCAATCAGCTACCCTAGAGCACTTTCCACAGGGTACGGAGAGTTAAGGAGTGAGGCAGTTAAAGCTCACACATTCCAGGGGGTTGTTGATCAAGACAAGCCTCGAACAAAGGAAAACTCCCTTCTACACACTCTTTGGGATAAGGGAAACTTAAGTGTTTGATGTAGAAAGAAAAAAGACAGTAGTGAGGGAAATAAATAGTTATCTCCTACTTTAAGAGATTTCAAAAACATCTAGCCAGGCGTGGTGGTACACACCTGTACTCCCAGCACTTAGGAGGCTGAGACAGGAGGATCTCTGAGTTCACGGCCAGCCTGAACTACAGAGTGAGACCTGTCTCAAAAAACAACAGAAAAAAAAAAATTCAAAAGCCTCCCCTGGGGGCTGGGGATTTAGCTCAGCGGCACAACGCCTGCCTGGCAAGCACAAGGTCGTGAGTTCAATTCCTGGTACCGGAAAAAAAAAAAAAAACCTCCTCTGCCTCCACACTTGTGTAAGTTTCTCTCTCACATATGCTTTCTTTCTCATTCTCCCTGCAGATCCAGAAACAGCAAGGCCTAGCAGCTCCAAAATCACTACCACGCTGGGTCTGGTCGTCCACGCTGCAGGTAGGGATGGGCCTTCCTTCCTGCACTTGGGGAGGCTGGGTGTCCGCTGAGGCGTTCCGTAAGGAATGGCTTGGTCTGGCCTTCAGGGAAGGTGCTTAGTATTTGTGCCAGGTTTGTGCGCTGAGAATGGTTTAATAAAGTTGTGTTTGAACACAGCCATGCCCACATGTTTATGTGTTATCTGTGGCTGCTTTTGTGAGGCCAAAAGACCCACGAAGCCTAAAGTATTTCTTGGGTCTGGCTATTTAGTAGTTTACTGCCCACTGCCCGAGGACTCATCGGGAAAACATCCCTGCACTTTCGTGCAGATGCCTCTGTGCCGTGTCCACCCCCAGTCTCGGTGGGAGGGGGAAGGTGGAATGCAGAAGCTCTCAGACTGCCCGCTGGGCCTGCTTCAGAAGCACAGCAGCCCGCTAACAAAGGAGGGCGCGTTATCCAGGTGCTTCTGGCGTGACCGCCTTCCTAATAAAACTCCCTAGTTCAGCCAGTATGCTCTTTAAAGGTAAATCAGAAGGGTCAACACCTAGTGTCTTTATCTGTAAGATGGGGGCTGGGGATTTAGCTCAGCGGCACAGCGCCTGCCTGGCAAGCGTGAGGTCGTGAGTTCGATTCCCAGTACTGGAAAAAAAAGAAAAAAAAAATCTAATTTATCTGTAAGATGAAGAGATGCTCCTTTGAAATTCTTTGGCATTTCTGTTATTACAGTTTCATTATCTAATCAGTGGATTTTTGAGCTTTATACATTTTCCATTAACCACAACAAAAATGAATTGCATACTGAATACTCTGGGCCAGGCACTAAGCTCTTTATGTAATCTTATTAATTAAGATTAATAAGATTTAATCTCTCATTTAATCTTCATCAAAACCCTGCGAAATTGATGCTTTCTTGAACCCATTTTACAGATGTGAAGACTGAAGTTCAGAAAGGTTAAGTAACCTCAGAATCAGATCCAGCTCTCCCAAACTCTAAGGCACCCCACCCCACAGTCACTACATTGCTATTGTTGTTTAAGCATTTTATGTTCTGTTGTTTCCTAATTTAGCTGACGGCGTTGCTTTGGGAGCAGCAGCTTCTACTTCACAGACTAGTGTCCAGCTAATTGTGTTTGTGGCAATAATGCTACATAAGGTAAGCCAAGATTTAATATTGCATAATTCACGGTTTAAATTTCTCTTAGTCTTTGTTTTGGTTTTTGTTTTTCTTCCGGCACCAGGAATTGAACTCACGACCTTGCGCTTGCCAGGCAGGCGATGTGCCGCTGAGCTAAATCCCCAGCCCCCTCTCTTAGTCTTTAATGTTTTTTCTGGAATGGGAATTTTTCCCTCCCATTCATTTTGGAGAATTATATAGATTGTTTATAGTGATTTTTTGGTACTCTTTTCCTAAAATTCTTACTGAGGGGCTTTATTGTTTGTAGTCATATACACAAACGTTAAATTGGCTAGATTTCTGTGTTTTGTTTTGTTTTGTTTTTCTGGTACCAGGGATTGAACTCACGACCTTGCGCTTGCCGGGCAGGCGCTGTGCCGCTGAGCTAAATCCCCAGCCCCGATTTCTGTGTTTTGTGGAATTTTTTTCATAAGTTTCTCTTGACTCTTTCTTTTGCTATCCTTTAAGAAACACTCAGTTCTGTTAGACAGATCTCTTCTTAGCTTAGCACATTCATTTCTAAAAGGCAGAGCTTGGTCCTCATACAGTGGTGGGGTTTTGCTGAGAAACCTTGTAGTCAGATGATGTTACTTCCCGAAGTAGAAGCTGCACTTGTAGCGTGCTAATGAGGGGTCATTATTCATTTCCAGGCCCCTGCAGCTTTTGGGCTGGTTTCCTTCCTGATGCACGCCGGCCTGGAGCGGAACCGAATCCGAAAGCATTTGCTGGTCTTTGCACTAGCGGCACCGGTTATGTCCATGGTGACATATTTAGGACTAAGTAAGGTAAGTCTGGCCGTCCCTGGCTTACCGAGACGTGTGTCTGGTTCCTTTGTGGCCTGCTAGAACTTAGTCTCTTCTGGCTCATTTTCAACTGAATCACTTTCCCAAGCTAAGAATCAGACACAGAATAAAAGCAGTGCATGGTAAACATCTTCACCCCAAGTCGGTCCTCTTGATACATTTCACATTTCCTTATTCATTTAATTGGAAGTCCAAGCGTATTTGCACAAATACGTGGTAGAACTTCAGTGTGTGAAATAATACCTCACTTACACGTGAGCAGCCATGCTGGTTTTATTTGACAGAGAGTGTTCGGTGTTGCGCAGGCGCGTGGAGCCTGCGTGTGTGACCAGCCACGGGGTGGCCTGCAGCGGAGTCAGTGAGCAGGGCAGCTGTGTTCAGCTGACACTTGGATTCCTTGCACTTCGCTCCCATTCACCTGCTCGTACGATCTAGTTCTTACCGCGGGGTGTAACTTCACACTCGAAGTGCCATTTTTCAGTTGTCAGCTCCACACCTGTGCTCTCTTCCTTTTCCAACTTGGACCTTTTCGTGCCTTAGAGTTCTGTTTACCTGGGCTCCAGTTCTCCCAGTTTTACCTAAATGTCCGCTGCCAGGCTGTCAGAGGAAATTTTTATTTTATTTTATTTTTTTGGTGCCGAGATTCAAACTCAGGACCTCGTGCTTGCCAGGCAGGCGCTGTGCCACTGAGCTTATCCCCGGCCCTCAGAGGAAAATTTCAAAACCAAACTGACTCAGGCCTAGTTCAGAGGAACTGTTTTCCGCTCTACCCTCCCTGAGGGCCGTTGACTCGTCATTATATACTGCACATGTTCCCCAGTTAACGACGTCCCTTAACACTTTCCCTTTAACAGTTCTTTGGACTTAGATCCTGGGTGTGCTGTTCGGTTCTGACAGCCGCATTCAGACTTACGTCGCGTGGCCGTAGCGTGGCTGCTTCTGCTGTCCAGTGCTGCCTTTTTTGTTGGTTGCACTGTTGCGTCATACATTACAGTGCTGTGCTGCGTGTAAGAGTTACGCATGTCATCAAGTTGGAGCTTCCTTTGACCGTTTCTTTGTTCTGAATATTGTGACGGCCCTACTATGTGCAATCCCGCCTTTAGCGACCAATTCATTTACGACCTAGTTAAGGAATGGGCCTCAGTCGTTAAGCGCCTGCATGGTAAAACTGTATTAAAAGATACACAGTGCTCAGGCGCTGCTACTCAAGGCTTTGCTGCTCTTGCTTGCTGATAAATGAGTGGTTGTAACCCTCTTCCCATTCGCCTGAAGATCCTGTCTTCTTTCAGCGACTTTCAGTTAATTTAAGTTTTGGGGTTTTGTAGGAAGTACTGATAATTCCCAGGCATGGAGTTTCGTGCTGCATCTGTGGCTGGTGCTTAAACTTTTAGTTCATCATCCAGCCCATAGACCCGCTGTTTAAATAGAAAAGGCTGGGATAATTTGTCTGAAGGTGAACACACGAGACCCTTCCCAGCGCCGTGAGGCTAGTGTCCACGTCTTGATTAGTACTGTATCAAGCACCTGGCTAGAGCCTGGGCGTAGAGAATACTTGTTAAATGTCAGTAGAATAAATGAGTTACTGTCTGAAATGTAATGTCTGCATTATTATATTGTTAGTTCCATCTCAAGAATAATACTGGCAAACTCTGGTCAACCAGCACTTGAAGGGTTTTTCTTTAACAAGCAAGTGTAGTGAATATAGTTGGTAGTACTATATATTTCAAACCTCACGTATAAGTTTCAAATACTCTTGCCACAGAAAAGCCCAAATATTTGAGATAATGGATGTGTTAATTGGCTTCGTTTAATTATTCCAGGTGGTATTCATAAATCATATCATTTTATACCCTATAAGTATATATAATTGTAAATTGTCAATCTACAATAAATTAAAAAAACAATTACGTGTATCACTGATCTTCTGAATCAGACTACTAGGTCAGACTACTCTGATCTCAGGATGTCCCTGGTGTCCCCAACCGCACCAGGCTTTACTGCCGGGAGTTGTTAACTCGGACTTCTTCCTGACTTAATTTTTCCTCTTTCTCTCCTTTTATTAACAGAGCAGCAAAGAAGCCCTCTCAGAAGTCAATGCCACTGGAGTGGCCATGCTCTTCTCTGCTGGGACATTTCTTTATGTTGCCACTGTCCATGTCCTGCCTGAGGTGGGCGGCATGGGGCACAGCCACAAGCCCGACGGCGCGGGAGGGAGAGGCCTCAGCCGCCTGGAGGTGGCAGCCTTGGTCCTGGGCTGCCTCATCCCACTCGTCCTGTCAGTAGGGCACCAGCATTAAAGTTCAGGTCCCAGCCGCAGCCCATGGCCCTTTGCCTCCCAGTGAGAACAGCAGGCCGCCAGCCACTTACTTCCTGAGTCTCTGTCCCGCCCCCGCCCATCTCCGCCCGTGTCCCTAGAGTCCGGAGGGAGGTGAGAGTTGGTCCTGGAGTGTGGATAGGTGTAGCCTAGGCGCAAGGCGTTGTGACCGGCAGAGGCTTGTGTTGTCTTTTAAAGGGCCCTCGGCATATTGAGTTTTGATGTTTCTTAACCCTATTCTCAGGGAAGATGGAATTTAGTTTTAAGGAAAAGTAGGAACTTCATACCATGAAGTAGTCATTATAAACACACAGTGTTCTGTAAGTAAACTAAATCTCTTCTTTTCACCCCTTGACTTTTGACATGGTTCTCACCGTGTGAGATCGGTGAGATCTCACACTTCAGCATCGGTGCCACACACTTCAGTTGAAGGTCACAGCACCCACTCTCAGGTGCTGGGGGTAATTCGCAGCTGCAGCAAGGGAAGGCAGGGCTGGACGCCCTGCAGACTGACTTACGCTCAAAGGAGATACCCACTGAAAGGGGAGGTCTAGAGAGACTTACGCGCTTCCTTTGCACCTGCCTGTAAGTACACTGCCGGCCCGTCCTGAGGGGCAGCAGCAGGGACTGGCTCCAGGAGAGGAGTGCCCTTTCGGAGCATTTCTTGTTTCCTGTGCAGAGTGCTTGCCTCCAGCGCATTCTTGCGCAGGGACCACGGCCTAGACTTGGGCTGAGGCTTTCCTCCGAGGACAGTCTGATCACGATGTATCTTTGGAAATGAAAGGAGGCTAAATTTTAAGTACATTTGGATAGTTACTGACATCTTTGTAGTCACCTTTTTTAAAAGACTACCAAATCTTTTTTTTTTTTTTTTTTTTGAGTACTTCTCTTATCAGGTCAGCAGTCCCTCTGGCTAAGCACCTGTCCCGCATGGGAGCATTGTGCCCGCTTACATAAACACCTGTAGCTGGAAGGAAGTCGAGCTGTGTCCCAAGAGAGAAGTCTCTGCCCGGTAGCTTAAAGCTTCTCAAAATCATGTCTCTTGTGTATTCGTCTTCCCCATGGTTGTCTCCTGACTTTGCCCTCCGGCCGCTCCTGCAATTTGCTGCTTACTGCCGGTGGCAGTATCAATACTTGTGTGAGACGAATGCTTATGAGGACAGCCACTTCTTAAACTGCGATGATATCGTCTCTGGGTAATATCGTCTCTGTTCTTTACTGCCTTCAAAGAAGTTACTTTTGTGTGAAATGCAGCTTTGTTAAGTTCTCAAAATATCACCTCCTTGTTGTGTGAATTGACCTAATCTCTAATATTCTGATAATTTAAACAGTTGAGACAGCAAAAGTATTTAACAAACCAACGTGATTTTCCATGTTTGCCAAAACCCATATAAATCCTATTCTGTCAAATAAGTGTAAGATACTGTATTCTTAATTTATTTTGATTTTCTGTACCATTTCAAAGCACATTTTTTTATGTTAAGCAGGAACTAAGACTAGTGTCTTCAGGGCAGTGGATTTAGTTGTCCGTCAAACGTGTTATGTGACGCAGAAACCATATAGCATGCCTGCAATTTCTTTTTTCCTTTGATTTGTCACTGTCAGCAGCTGTGGAATCAAACTTGTGTGCCCTCTGCTGGTTGCAGTGAAGAAAGTAGCAGAAGTAGGATACAGTTCGTACAGTAGCTGGCAACCATTGCACATAATAGTGTTAAAGCCAAGGGTGGGCCCGGTAGGGAAAGCCTGAGCGGCTCTGCTGGTTAGAACCTAACAGCTGACTCCTGGGAGGCTCCAGGTATCACCTTGTCCTTCAGAGTACGGTTGCCTGCATCTCTCCGGAAACTGTCAAAGGAATAGACTTCTTGTGCCTGGTTTGGTTTCAGTAGAAGTGATTTCTGTCATAGCGTTGTGTGCAGTGGTCAGAAATTTGGTTTGCGGGCCAATGCCCCTTTGAGCAGTGCCTTGCCGTCACACTTAAAAAAGCTTGGCTAGAATATCTTGCTGGATAGGGCCTTGAACTCTGGCAAGGATTGAACCCTAAGACTTCCAAATTTGCCTTCCCCTCTGGACCTCAATTTAACCAGCTCTCCGAAGCCGTGGGCTTTCCCAGGCTTAAAGCTGCGGCCTCAGGAACTGCTTGTTCCTCCGCTGGCCAGCAGGCAGAAATAGCCATACGAATCTCACAGGGCTCAAATGCGTCTTCAGGCAGGGAACCGTGCGGCGTGGCGGGGGCCTCTGCCGAGGAGGAGCTTGCTCCGTGGTGGGCGCGGGCTCAGAAGAGGCCGTCTCGTGTTCACCTCAGCACATTTCGGTTCTGTTTCTCTCCCACTTCAAATTGCCTCCTTAGCTGTGGATGCCTTAATGCTGTAACACATTTGCAAATTTAACAGTACTTACGGTCGCTGCCATGACTACTGGAATTACTGGCTACCAAAGAGACGCAGCTGGTGATGAAAAGCACGGTCCATCCTTCCTCACAACCAAAGTCAGTCTTCAGTGCAGCCTGAGTCCTTGTACTTGGCAGGGGTAGACTTTCTGCAGATGCGAAGTGCTCTCTGAAATGCCAAACCAAACTGACAGATGCTACTGACCTGGCCCCCACCCATTCTGCGGTCAGCTGCTTATCAGTTCTCATGTCAGCGAAGCAGGGATGTTTCAGGCCTCATCCCGTTTTGCTGTGCATGCTGTTGCCCGATTTTTTTTCCCCAGAGGTTCTGTACTGGAATGTAAAGAGCTGAAAATGGCACTACCCACCCTCACCTCTTTATTTCCCAGTTCAAAGCAGCCCAGGCACCCTGCTCCGGTATTTTGAATCATTAGAGAAAAAAAGGAACTGTTTTGTGGTATCATTTCTTACAGAAAGGAGAAAGTGTAATTGTGTTTTCTACCAGCCGACTTCTCAGTGTCACTGCCTGGTTTTTCTCTTTTTTAAGGATTAGAACTAGGAGGACACACCAGCTTCGGAGTGTGTTCAGCCCAACACACAGGGTAGCTAGGTACTGACGCGGGAACTGTATGCCAACAGCACCAGCCCCAAAGATTGTGCCTGCCTCCTGGGCCCAGAGCCCCGTGGGAGCCCGAGAGTCACAACCCCTTCATCCCAGACTGCTGCAGTGCACGGCAAGGACGCGGTTGTTCAAGAGAGGACCCTTCTTTGCGTCAGAAGGTTTTTGCTCAGAACAGAACTGTGCACGCCACCCATAGAGCGCGACTGGAGATGCCATGAAAGTAAAACCAATGACATGGCCTCTGCGTTCCCGAGACGCCTCCGCTCCCCAGGAGGCCTGGAGGAGAGAGCTGTGGCTGTGGGACAGGACTGCCAGCGCTTCAGGAATTCTCTAGATAAGCTCGCCTAGCACAGCGGCTCACCTCAAGGAGACTGGCGTTGGCCTGCGTCAGGCGGTGTCTTCCCGCAAGCTGGGAGTCTTCATGGGACGATAACGCCACAGTTCCCCCGGTCTGGTGGCCTGAACAGTGGTTTTAAATGTCCCTTTTTTGGATCCTTTGTATACATGAAATCATTCCATAGATGGCTGCCTTATAATTTTGTCTCTTTCCATTTTAATTGTGAATGGTTTAAAAGAATTGCTGTTTTCTGATTTGTTTTATGATATTAAATTTTTATTAGTGCATACCTTATGCGAGTGCCTCATTACTGTGAGTTGGCAGTATTTCTCTTTGACACCCAGAATTGACCCACAATTAAAAATCAAAGAAGCATTGAGAAGCTGCCTGCTACATGTGCATCCTTTAACCGAGGAAGGAGACAGGAAGGAGGGAGACTTAGGGACTGGACCAGCTGCTCCCGGAGACACAAATTCAGTGACTTTTAAAAAAAATTTTTTTTTGCTTTGCTGTTACAGAGTGCAAGTATGATTTATGAAGGTAGCTCCCTACCTCCAAAAAGGAGAAGCAGGCAGCAGATGCCAGTCACCATGGATTCACTTCCAAAGGCAGAGCTATTCTGTGAGCGTATAGACGCTCTGAGCAACTGACACTGGAAATAAAGATTAAAACAGAAGTGCAACTTGTGAGATTGGTCATTGTTTTCTCCCTCGATGGGTTTTATTGCTGTGGTGGTTTTTGTTTTTGTTTTTTAAGACAGGGTCTTGCTATGTGGTTCCGGCTGGCCTTGAGCTCTCTGTATAGCCTAGGCTGGCCTTGAACTAGCAGTCCCCCTGCTTCAGCCTCCTGAGTGCTGAGATTACGGGCGTGCACCATCACACCCAGCTGTGTGGCTTATTATTAACTCAGGTATAAATATATGCTATGATAGCAGTGTATCATTGAAATATGTTATTTGAAGTCAGCTGGGCACACACCTGTATTCTCAGCTACTTGAGAGGCTGAGGCAGGATGATCACAAGTTAGAGGCCCAGCTGAGCAACTTAGCAAGACCCTATCTAAAAAAAATTACTTTTAATCCCGTTATTCAGAGTCAATCACTGATGACATTTAGCATAATTTCTTCTATTATTTTTGTAGGCCTAAAAAAATGTAATGGAATCATCTTATGATACTAAATTTGTACTAGTGCATACCTTATATATTTGCAGTGTGTCTACAGAAGTCACAGAGGAGAATGGTAAGGGAGGAGGGCTGAGGGTGTGGCTGTGCTGGCATGCTTGCCTAGCATGTGCCAGGCCCTGTGTTCGATCCCCAGGACCACGAAAGAAAGGAAAAGAAATTATGTTACTAGATTTCATTAGTGGTGCTGGTTTTCCACATGCATTACATGTGCTGGAGTAATTTTGCCTGAAGCATTCCATGCTTTTAACACCTCATGAGGAAATGCTGCCTCAAGGACATATTTCCTATCCCACAGGAGTCACCGAGTGCAGCGCTGCCTCCCTCCTCTGCCTGAGCAGTGGGCCTTGAAATCATAAGCGGCAGCAGCTATATGCCCTTTCACACTGCTGTCCAGAGAGAGAGAGAGCGAGAGTGTGTGTGTGTGTGTGTGTGTGTGTGTGTGTGTGTAACCAAAATAGCCAACAATCCTTAGTTTTGTATTCTTGGAAGCCAGTGCTACGTGCACAGTGTCATTCTTGATGAATAAGGAATGAGCATCTGAGCCCAGGCATGGTGGCGCACGCCTGTAATCCCAGCACTCAGGAGGCTGAGGCAGGAGGATTGTTGCGAGTTTGAGACCAGCCTGGGCTACAAAGTGAGCTCAAGGCCAGCCTGAACTGCATAGCGAGACCCTATCTCAAAAAGACAAAAAAAAAAAAAGGAATGAGCATCCATGTGTATGTTGCCCCTTTGTCCAGAGTGATCTTTCACAGCCTCCCTGCCTCCTTCAGGTCTTGATCAGGTTTGGTCTTCCTGCCCACAAGTTCTCCTTTGGCTCCCCACCTCCACGGTCCTTTTGTCCCTAGATGTGGAGCCCTCTGCCCTGCCTCATCTCCCTCTCAGGTTCCCCTGGGGCAGCAAAGCCTCAAACAGGTAAAGGAGTCCAACCCATCTTGGCCTTAGGAAGTCCAATCAAAGTAGAAATCGAACTCAACAAATGATGCTGGGCGTAGTGGTGCACCCCTGCAATCCCAGCGCTTGGGAGGCTGAGGCAGGAGGATCACATCGGGTTCAAGGCCAGCCTGGGCTATAAAGTTCAAAGCTAGCCTGAACTACATAGTGAAACCCTGTGTCAAAACTCCTCCCCCTAAAAAACTTAAAAACCAAATGAGGCCAGGGTTTTGATCCTCACCAGGAGAGGAGAGAGACATCGGGAAAGACAGCACACATGAAGAATCATTTGGGCTGAGCCTTGAAGTGGGATCTGGGGAAGAAGAAAGTCATTCTAGACCGACAGAAGGACAAGTGGCAAGAAGATGCAGACGTGCATGGCAGCCTCAGATTAGAACTTGTGTGGCTGGAGTAAGAGAACAATGGGGTGAACCCAGACAAGAGGGGGGCCAGGCTATGAAGGACGCTAGATCAGGAGTTGGCGGCTGGAGCCAAAGCACAGGGTCAGCAGAGGGTTTGGGATGGAGCCTCCCACTGTCTGTACGGGGCCTGGAAGAGATGACACTGGACACTGGCACTCCTGGATTCTCTGGGGTCCTGCAGTAGGTGGGGACAGCTATCCGAAGAGGCTCTTGCAGAGCCCAGTGAAAGAGTTGAAAGCGAATCAAGTGGGGATGGAGAGACGGGTGGGGCTGAGAACACCACGGCCAGAGGGAGCTCCGTCATTTCCTTCTCTCACAGCTAACGGCAGAGCCTGGATTTACACCCATCTTTCTTTTTTTTTTTTTTT